TTCATATTTCTTATTTATTTTATTTTAATTAATTAATTATATTATATAATTAATTTATGAATTATTTTTTAAAGTGTCAAATATGATCCGATCAATTTTAACTTTCTTATTTTGAAATAAAAGAAACTGAACAATTGATACAAAAAAAAATATCTATGACCAAATTAAAATAAAAAATGTTATGAAAACTAAATTATATTAAATATCAACATTTTCAAAACTAATTAGACAATTTATAATTTGAATATTTATACAACACTCATACATCAACAATCATACAATCAGTAATATTGTAATAACATAATTAGAATATATAAATCAACTTAAATTTACAACACCGTATATAATTGTGAAAGTACTCATCTAACTTATGGATAGTAAAACATTAATAAATTAGTATATATAAAACTATATTGGGTAAATTTATGTTGACAATATACAAGATAACTATGATATACTAAAAGAGTGTTTAATGTTCAATTTTTAGTTAATAAAATAATATTTTATATTTATTTATATATTATATTATCATTTTACATAAATAATAATGTATATGTGATATGAAATAGTAATTAATTTGTTAGAAATATGTTATTTTTAACTGCATATTAAAAGTTCATCCAAACTCACTTTTAGCGCGATTCTAAATTTATTAAAAACAAAGCCAATCCCGTGTAAGTTTACTTTTATTTCTTTCAGTTTATTTGTGTGTGTATATTATATTTGGTGTATATTTAGAGCATAGCAATACTAAATTTACTTATATTAATAAAACAATCATTAAGTTAAAATGTTATAATTTATTAAAATGTTGAAATTAAGAAAATGAGGGAGCTATCGTATAAAGAAAATTAATTAATTGTAAAATATTATAAAAAAATAAAAAGATTGAAATTAAAATCAAACTGTTGGGCCTAAAGCCTGAAGATTGCATTGGATAAAAGACTAGAGCCTAATCTGGCTTGTCATTACCTTGTAGTGCTGTAACCGGGATCTTACATTTAAAATACGAGATAAATACATACTAAGTTATTATCTTTTTTTTTTAATTTAAACTATTACACTTTATTTTAAATCTTGAAATTTTTAAAGTATGTTAAAATAAACTTCCGTCAGTGAATATTATTTAATTTTTAAAAAATATCACATATAATTCATTTGGTGTCCAAATTTACGATAAAACAATTTTATTTTTTTCCAATATAACATCCATGTGAATTTCGTATCAAATAGAAACCCCCTTGCTCTTTTCTTCTCATCATTTTTTTTAATTTAAATATTTATACTATTTTTTGTCTATTTAAATTTTTAAAATTTTTAGAATATGCTAAAATAGATATTTATTATTATACATCGTTTATCTTTTGTTAACAGAATGTCATGTAAAATTAATAGAGTATCAAAGTGGACGATGGATAAATTTTTTTCAAATGTGGCATCCACGCGAATTTCATGTCAAAAGAAAACACCTTTAGCGTCCCTAATTTCTTCTCCTTTGTCCTACTTTATTCTTGTCCTTCATTCGAAC